CATGAAATTGCATTACCAATTTTCAGTAGAAATGGGTTTAGTGGCATCGAGAAGGTGTTCAGGATGTTAAATAATCTTTTGGCTATTACATGTTACCCGTTATTTAGGGTATTTTAATAACCAACTTGTCAAATAAAGTTGCTTCTAATATCTTGGTTTAGTTGTAATAGATTGTGTATCTTTCACATTAGAAGTTCTGATTCATTTCTATTTTTAATTATTTTTAATGATTTCAGGAATATGGTGCTAATGTTTTTCAGAGGTCTGGCCCTATAATTATTTAATTTAAAAATGCAAAATGCAGTCAGAATAATTATATATTTGTTTTTTAAGCATAAAAATGCATTTTGCTTTTACATCCACTGACAGAACTGAAAGAAAGTAAAAGAAAATAAAATTACTACATTTCTCTTGTCTCTAGGTTATACACCAGCATTGGCCTGTGCTCCCAATAAAGATGTGGCTGACTGCTTGGCTCTCATTCTGGCTACAATGATGCCTGTTTCATCAAGCAGCCAAATACCTTCTCTTACATTTAATTCCATTAATCATTATACCACCAGTTCAAAAACAGTCACCTTTGATTCTTCACCAATTACCCAAAGTGAACATAGTTCTTATTGTAGTTTCAACAATATTGGGAGGGAAGATGGCTATCCATATACAGAAGAAGATGAACTTAATGACTCAGATTCTGAAACATATTAAAAAGCTCCATTAGAGGTCCTGAAAAGTGAACTTACTTGCTGAATTTCCAGTTTATTATTGGAGAAAGCAGTCTTGATGAATACAAAAAAAGGATAGCCCAAGGAAAATATTCCTTTAACGAAAGTATGGGGACACAACAAAAAATATGACTCAAGAGATTTTTAAAAGCAGATTATGCAAAAGAAATGGTTGGAATCTGTGGTGAAAACAATTATCTAGAATGTTATTTAATTGCAATGTATTGGTTTCAATGAATAATCCCAATAAGGTTGTGCATCTTTGTATAAACAAAAAAAATGCAATTATACAACAAAATGGACAATACATTCAAATCTTAACTATAAAAACTAAGATCATTTTGAAGGCAATAATTGAGTTTGGGACAGGAGGCATTGTTTATGCTGCAAATTGCCAAAGGACCAAATAACTTAAGACTTTTTTTAAATTAAAAAAAACCCTTTTTGAGAACACTTGAACAGCTTAAATAAGTAATAGTCTTAACCATCCCTTAAATTATAACTAGCAATTAATCTTAGATTGATTTTAACTGTTGATTTGTCATTTTAATCATCCTTTGACAGATTAATCATCTGTCATTTTAATCATCCTTCCGACACCATTAAATGTACCATAAAAATATAGCTTTTAATTTGTTAGGCTTTTAAGGTATTAAAGCTGTTACTAGCTGAACCAGGAATTGTCAAAGTAAAATGAGTACAAAAACAGCAACGTAGTAAATCACTGCCTAGCTTTCTTTTATTTATCACACAAATAGAAAAAAGAGAGAGAGACGCAAAGATACACAAACAAACACATTGACGGGAATTCTTTGAGTAAGTCAAACTGCATCAAAAATAAAACTGCAATATCCTGATACTTTGTTAGACGCCTTATAGAATACTATTTCTTACAATTCATCCAATGTTTTACTAAATTTAGTGAATGATATTGGTGCCTCTATTTGTGTACATATAATTAAAATGTTTTTAAGGCTAAGAATATGACTGAAGATAATATGATAAAATATTGTTACTCTATTACCAAAAAGGTACAATGTCGGATTTTAGAAACGTACAGAAGTGCTTCATTTATAATTTTTCAAATGATGCAGATCCTTCTGTTAGAGTTAAAAATTTTACCTGTGTTTGTCTAATTTATAATAGGCTCCTGAAAAAAACTAAAAATGGAAGAATGGCATTTTCCCCTCAAGTTGGTTTGTTAAAATAGAAGTATTTATTTGGTTCTGCTTTAATTGAAAAACAAAACTAATTATTACTTGCTTTGGTTATGTATATGTGAGACTATCTCGCTTGAGATCCCTATCTTTTATCTTTTTTTGTATTGTGAAACTGGAAACCTTAATACCATTGTAAACTATCAGCTTGTTTTCTGAACATAGTGTGAAAACACAAGACAGTATTTTGATCTATTTGATAATTTTGTGGGTTTTTTGAAGAATTAATGAGCATGTACATAGAAATAGCATTTGCTTGAATACTGTACTTACCTGCACTCCTTTCAGTACATCAAGATTCCTGTGTATATTTTACAGAGTATAATAAAATTCAAATGTGAGAGTTGTATTTAATGAACAATTTATGTATCATTATGGAGTATTGAGAATTCAAATTTATTGTATTGAAACCTCAGATTTATAAATCTTATTGTGCAATGCTTTTTAATTTTCTTATTCTAAAGCAATAATTAGCTTAACTAGTGTTTGAATTAGTAATTCAGATATTTAAATATATATTTTGGAGACCTCATCTTTTTATTTTAACTGGATTTAATTTCTGAAAAAATCATAGAAATCATAGATATTGTTATTGGGCAGTTGAAAATCTTGAAAGTCTGAGGTTTTCTTTTCTGTATCACTTTATATACATAATGTCTAAAATGGAAAAGATATAAAAGTCTAGTAATTAGCTGAGTATGAACATGCTCTTCATAAGACTTCCTTTTTACTTCACAATTAACTCTGAAAGCATTGTTTATTTTATAAATGAAGCTACCAACTTTTGGAACATTTGAATAATGATGAACTATGAGGCATTTAGTTACTTGTTTTACTCAATAATCAAATCATTGTCTTGTATTTTTCTCAAAATCTTTAGGCAGGCAAAAGAAAACACAATAAAGCAGTAAAGTCATATTTACCCTCCTTAAATAATATCCTCCAATAGCTTTCATTGATCGATATATCAGCAATTAGGAACAAAATAAAATATATGTTAACCAGTTTTAAAAAGATGCAATTCTATTCAGATCCTTATAATTCAACCCAGAGCAGCTAAAATCAGCTAAAACTGATAAATAATGTATTCCTTATTTTTTCATTTAGATCTGATTTTTCTGATCCAATATGATTAGGACATAGTGTCTTTTGGAATATAAGCAGGAAATACAAGAAGGTAGACACAAGATAACTGCTTGATAATTTCGAAGATTATAACTGACACACAATTCAGATAAAAGTCATCCTGGAACCAGTAAAACTAAGACAACAGTAATGAGTACAATATTTACAAAGAATAAAAAGAATACTGTAATAATATTCCAAAATGTAATACTAATTTTGCTGTAAAAGACAGTATATGAAACAACATAAAACTCATATTTGATATACTTCATATTGGAGATGAAGAAGTCTTAGATCTGAGGTCCTAGGCAAATCTCCCCTCAACTCAGTCCTCTCATGTGAAATACAAATACATTGTTCCTCCTTGACCACTACATCAACATCTTATAGTCCAGTTTATATCCCAAGATGCCAATAATGCATTGATTTTAGTTTGTTCTAGGGAGATCTACTCAAGTCAGTTTCCTACCTACAGTCAGAATGTAATATCAAAACAAAAGCAGTTGAACAAAAGGTGACACAGCTTTTGAAATGAATATGCTTCTATAGTAAAGAATCCTTAAGTGCTTTTCTATAATTAATTGGATATAAAATAAAAGCAGAGGTTACACTCAACACTTGACACAGTGCAATAGAAGTCTCCTGAAAAGGTTCAGTCAGTCCTGTTAAAAAAAGGTGAAAAGTTTCCTTTAGTCCTAAGAAAGTTCAGTTGTGTTTAATATGTATACCTTGGAAATGGTGATTTTATGTTTACATTTTATATCCTTTCCTCCACAAACCTCACAATATGAGTTCTCAAAAAAAAATAAAAGAGGTTTATCACTAAATATTGCAATAGTTTTGAGTACAGTTTTATTTGTATTTTCTAAAAACGTGAATGAATCAATTCAACAAAATTCAATAAAAGAATAATAATGTATTTTTTTAACCCTAAAATCCCTTTATTTGGGGTGGAAGCAGGGCAACTGAGTGAAGCTGAGCCAGATGCCCCTCCTGATGACTAGGTGGAGTTGCTATTTTCTCTTTGTGCCCTAATAGAGAAACTTTTGTTGCTGCCTAGGATTGAACTCTCAACCTTCTGAGTGGGAGGCAAGCATCTCCACCTGCAGACCACCTTGCTGCTCAGAAGAAGAATGTATAAGTCCCTGATATTCTTGGTAGAACCTTAAATGTCTTGATCTCAAAATGGAAATCTGAAGGGATTTTTTCTTTCAAAACAAAGGATTTTTTTAAAGATATCAGCAAATCACTGATTTTCTTCATTTTGCTCTAAACTTTGTCTTATTTTTGTCTAATAGTTGTATTTGCTATGTTTTATTTAATCCTGATGTCTGAATGTTAAAGATGGATATCATTTTATTCAAGAGGATTTCCAAAATTGAGTGCAGTGCTTTAAACTGTATAACAACAAAAGTTCATTTTTTTAAATGTGAAGATAATTTTCTTTAGTCCAATTAACCTATTTGCTTAATTACAGGTTAAATGCTACTTTAGTTTCTCCCCAAAGTTCTATTGTGCTGTTTTATCATGATGGAAAGGTATTCCAGTGAGGGATAAGTGAAGGATCCTGAGAGTTGGCATGAAGATTATCCAGCTGCCCAGACAAAGCTAGCAATACATATGTTGGGCAATAGTAATACAGAAAGATGCTGGGGATGGATGATCACTTTAGTGGTAATGGTAAGAGCATCATTTCATATAGTACAGGAGACTGCAGTGATAAGCCATTCTTATATTTTATCAAGAAAACGTATGACAGACATTCTGAAATAATTGATGGCATAGTGCTAGATGACAGGCTCCTTGGGTGGGATGGCATTCAACATGCTATCAAGGAAAAGCTGAGGTACTTTTGGATTCTAGACTTGGTGTTTATGACATGCCTAGAATAAAGCCTTTGGGATATCTAATTGCTAATGTTGCCAATCAGAAAAAGAAAATTCAAAAAGACAAACGGAGTATGGTAAGAAACATGAGAACAGCAGAACTCAACACAGAGATGAAATCAATTGCTAAATGTTGCATTTTAGGTATTAGCAAATTGAAATGACCCTTCAAGTCAGAAAAAATATTGTTTACTAATTAGGATCCAACAGTCAAGGAACGGTATTAGTAATGGTAAAAGAACCATAATTAAGAATTACACTGCAGACTGATACTTATTACAGTAGCAATAAAGGTCTTACAAATGTATTCAGATTCTGTGATGTGTCTACAACTACAAAAATGGTTGTCAGGTAGACCAGTTCAAGAAAGCAATTCCCGAACAAGAACAAGGGATAAACATCAAAGGAAAGTGTTGGGAAGAGAAGCATTGACTATGAGGAAGAAACACTGGAAGAAAATAGCTGATTATTCCAAAAGCACAATATTCTTAATTGCAATATAATGATTGCAAGTTTAGGAATGGTCCCATTTCTAAACTTGAAGGCTTCAGAAAAGAGCAGTTTGGAGTTATGTCTGGATTTGTACCAAAGATATACTTGCTTCCAAATGTAAGATCTCAGAGATGGCACATTCTGCTACATTGAAGCCATACCTGTGAAATGCTCTAAAGGACAAGGCATTTTGAAATAATTCAACTTTAATCATAGTATGTTCCATGTACTGTATATCTGTAATAAAGGTCCAAAAGCTTTGAATAATCTCATCACAGAATATTTATTTGGTTCTTGCAGTAATAATTTTAAGACATTATTGGTATCAAATATTATTTTTTGTCCCTCTCATACCAACGTCCATAAAGGCCAGCTGTTATTAAACCAGAAGATCCTCCCATTTTGTACATGACATAGGAATTTTTTTCCCAGCCCAAATAGTCAGGAAAGTCTAGAGTGACCCCAGATCTTAGCAAGAGAGGAAAGATAAAAGTAGTACTGAAATTTCCTCGGAGCTGAAAATCTATCAATCCAGAAGCCTCTGTGATTTCTTGCCCACAGGTAGAATAGTTAAGTCCACCACATTTCACTAATATACAGGCTTGAACATAGTATGTTCCATGTACTGTATGCAAATCATCAAAAACTCCTAAAACATAAAGTTCATTTGTTTTTTCTAATCGCCTATAGATTAAATTACAACAAAGTGTATTGGAACAAACTTCTATATTTCCTTCTACATTTAGTATGGGTATTAAGGTAAAATTATCATACATCATTATTTCATAAAATACTGGTAAAAATTCTTGGGATAGCTTTTCTTCTATTTCACAGTCAGTTTCTTGATCCTTATGGCAAATCTGTTTCTCTGTATAAAAATTCAAAGAACTCTTTTGACCATTATGGGACATTGCATTGTTTTCCATATTAGTTTCATGATCTGATGTAGTAACTGGGATTTGTACAACTATAAGTTTCCCATTAATGCTTTCCATATCATAATAAGTGAAAGATTTTGATGGTGTATATATACCACTACCTGTCATACCCAAGTCAGGATGATGGATATTTGCTGCCAAAAGATTTATTTCAAAAGCAGTTGCAAAAGCTTGTTGAAATTCAATAGCAGACAAAAGTGGAAGTTGATTCATCCATGCAGTGGGATATGCAACCTGAGTTATGTTGTATTGCTTTATAAGGGTTACAGCTGGCTCATAAAATAGAATATCAAAGCAAGTAAAGATTCCAAATCTGCCTGCAAAAGGTGTATCAAAAATTGTATAATCAATCTCTGGTGGAGTATTAAAGGCATACTCAAAATATAGGTTTTGTTTTCTATATCTGGCTATGAGTGTGCCATTGTCATTAAATACTACATTAGTATTAAACTGATATCTTCCATCTGGTGGACAGTGGGGATCACTTTGCATGCAGGGCTCTTTAGTTCCCAAATTTACAACTAAAAACATTTGATTTTTCAGCGCCATACAGCTGAGTCGATGCAGAACCTATAAAAGCAAAATATTTTTTAAATTAGAATGGTATCTTATACAGTGCTTTTTTTGAAAAAAAAGAAAAAGAAAAAAAAGGTGCCGGAACTCACACACGTCATACAACCCGCCTTGCCTAACCTACAAGGTTCCATCCCAAAAAGGTGCTGGAACTCCGTTCTGGGCGTTCTATGACAAAAAGAGCCCTGATCTTATAAAAAAAAAAAAAAAAAGGACTGAGCTACAGTATTGTGTTAACTGGCTATTGAATTAGGTACAATTTTAGCTTTTAAATGATTTTTATTTGGAAGAGTACATTAAGAAAATAGAGGAAAGAAATTAAATTAATTAAAGAAATTACCTCAGTGTCATTGAATAAGTAAAATTCTTTGCATGGATTCCATATTAGAGAGTCCAGGTTTGGAATGAAATCCAAATAAGGATAAATGGATGTCCTTGTGAAGTTGAAACCCTGAATTCCATCTTCAGGAAAGATAATTATTTGAGCCCCCTAATAATAACGAAAAATATTTATCAGCCAAAGGCTAACGATGAAACAAAATGATATTAAATAGCTATGGTTTAATGCATATAATTGCTTTCATTAAAAATAATTTCACAATTAAAGGAATATGGACAAATTAATAGATTGTATTTGTGTTTCAATGGAAATTAAATGGAAATTATGACTGAAACACACTAATTTTGGAAATGAACGAATCTATCTTTTGCACACATAGAATGCAACCATTCTTCCTCAAGCATTTTATAGAATATGTATAACAAACTCTTACAGAAATGTATAATGCATCTTAACTATCACATTTTTAATTAATTAAGGTGATTGAAGATTCTGGGAACTCATAATAGAAACCAAGATGATAGTCTCTTAGAGTCCAAATATCTGAAGTCTACATTTTCTTAATGACTATAATACTACTATACTACTACATAATACTATTGTATTATGATTATACAACTGAAGCTAAACCATTCACTGTTATTTAGGTCTATGTCAATTTAGAAAATTGTGATAAGCTATTTCCAACTGACTTCCAATGGTAGTCAAATTTTATATTAAAAATTTTATATTAAAAAAGACTTAATATTCTACCTGTTTTGCTGCATTAATTACTTGCTCTTCATAAATGTCTAGATTCCTCTTCATTAATTGTAATGCAGTGTGTCGATCAATGATGGCCGCTGGATTGGGATTCAAGATGGCATAATGTTCATACACAGCAGCAACATAATGTTTTCCTCTTTGAATATCTATGGAAAGAACTTGATGACCAAGAACAAAAAAGATGACACTTGCCATGAGCCTAAAATGAAAGCAGATGAATATGACCGTGACCAATGACATCTTAGATCAGTAATGTTGAACCTTTTGAGCTTGCAATGTCAAAAATTCAGAAATTACCTAACTTGACTGCTGGCATCTAAATCCCTCTCCTCCCAGGTCAGAAGAAAAACAATTCATAACAAAGAGTAACTTTGGATAATGAGATAGGTGGTGTGTAAATAAAATGTAAAAAAAAAATTGTCTCAGGGAAAAAAATGCCTATCCAAGGCAGCTCCAGATCACATGATGCCTGGAAACTTCAGAGAATGCAATTGTGTAGCATTGCAGCCTCCAAAAACAACATGACAGCATGCCCCTTTCTTGTGTGCTTTTTGGATGCTCCAGAGGGTCTGGGGGCCATGTTTTACCTTATTTTTGTGTGACCTTTGGAGGCTCCAAAAATTCACATAAGAGCATCCTGCACGTTTTGGAAGCTTCAGAGGTCGCACAAGAATGTGATATGCTTTTGCATGGCCTCCACATCCTCTTTACCCTTGTCACATGAGAGGGCCTGCTCTTGCACAGTCTCTGGAACCTCTGAAAATTGTACAAGAAACTCCTGAAGTTTTTGGATGTTGCAGAATCTGCATGAGAGCAGAGTCCACTTGCGTGGCTTCCAGAGGGTCTGAAGGCTGTATAAAAGTACACCACATTCTCATTGGTCTTTCGGTATGTCACAAAAAATGGTGTGGCATGTCATTTGTGACATAAGTATCATAGATTTGCCATCAGTGCTCTAGTTTCTCCAGTCTTTCTCCACTTCATAAATCTGGGGATTTCATGTCGATTACATTAAGTTCACTAGATTGGAGAAGAGTAGCTAGTTATTAACCTTTAATTTTTTTAAAATTAAGTTTGAGAAATCATTAATCATTAGAATCCCAACCACAAAGATAATCTAAAGTTGTCACCGACAACATACAAAAACGATATCAAATGAAATTTAAAAGAAGTACAGCATGGAAAGTTATTTGCCCATTTCATAATGGACAGATCAATTCAATATTTAAAATACTTGTTTTAATACATAAGTTATGCAATAATATAACAAGGGAACAATAGAGCAGAATAGTTATTTTGGGGAAATATATATGTCACTTAATATTCAAACCACATTTTCAACCTAATGTTCTCCAGAAGGGTTGGGATTACAGCACCTAGAATTTCAAGACAATGTGAGCTGAGAAACTTGACAGTTGTATACCCAACACATCAGGAAGGCATTAGATTGGGAAATGCTACTGTAACAAATGTGATTATTAGCATAAGCTATTTTAAGGCAAATTCTGGCTACACTGCTCTGGAAACAGATGTGCTCCTCTAAGAATGTTCTCTTCTGGTAATTGATTTACTTGCTCTATGAGAACAATTCAGCTGCTGTTTTAGGGAACACACAGCAGAGTTTGTACAGCTTAAATACAAGAAGAAATGTTCCTTTGTGCAGAGCCTATTAAAATGCAGATGCAATTGGTGTATGCAATGTAATATATGACTATACAGAAGAGCGATATATGATGTTATTCTGCCCAGGGAAAGAACATATTTTTATTTACTTGTTGCAATGCTGTGGAAGGCATATAAGAAATATATACTATTTTTATGTATAATTTTTATTAAAACTTAAATAAAATAAAAATAAAAGTAATGTTTTTATTAACATTTAAATGAAAAAACTATACTAATAGAAAATAAGAAAAAACAAAAAGAAATAAAAGAAAAAATGTAATAAAGGAGAGAAAAGTTAAAAAATAGAAAAGAAAGAAAAAATATATAAAGAAGTAGGAGTATATGCTATTTCATGAAACTTGTTAGCCCTGTGTCAGTGAAACTGTTACTTAGGAAATCATCTTTTAGCAGCACATAGTGACTGAACAGAAAGTACAGCACTACATTATTACCAAGAACTATTCATAATTATATAATGATTGTCAAGAAGACCTCCAGCATCAAAGACTTCTGGAAGAAAATAAAGAAAATAAAGAAAAAACAGGATTCTAGCCAAAAGTCTGTTGACGTTGTCTTTATCTGTTAGGCCACACAATGGAAGAAAAATGGTGTTTACACTGTAGGAAAATGTACAGTTGAAAAAAAATATTAATTTCTTAATACAGATGTTTGTGATTTCTAATGACATTTATAAAAGAAATTGTTTTAATTATTGTGGATTTAGCAACACTTAGTTAAGTTTCAAAAGAAGAAAATTGTTTTTAAAATTCTTGTTTGATGGAAATGGTAATCTAACTCCAGTGACTTTGTAAGTTAGTGGTTCTTCTACATTGCTAGTAGTCTATTGCATTCTTCCAACTCTATTGCATTCTTCCATTAACTGGATTTTGTGTCAGAGTGCAAACATAAGGCTTGATCTCAAGAAATTATTGGATGGAGATCTTACATACATTAGGATGACATCCGCTATTATGTAAATATCTCCCGGCATCCCAACCCTTTAATAAATGCACTGAAAGCATATGAACAGAATGCATGGTTTTAACTGGAATTGTATGCAAATTCACATTCCAATTTTAATACTAACATGTTAAAAGTTTGTTTCATGTACTAATTGCATTCAAAAGTTTTGCTTCCTTATAGTAAATATGGAGAATCTGCAATTTTTCAAATATCATCAAGGATATATCAAAACATGTCCAGCGAACATAACCCATAGGCAAGAACAATATCTACAGGGTTACAGACTTTGTACCGTGGCATACTTTTTGATATGTAATAAATAAAAAGAAATAACCCAACGATCACAACTAACAGAATAATATGATAACTGTTAATTTTATTACTGTTATTAATGTTATTGGTAGCTAATGTGAAATTGTATGAGAAGTGGAAAACCAAATGCTATTATCTTTGGAAGCTACCAGTCAGTTGAGGCAAAAACCTGAATGCACTTGCCATGATCTGTCAAACTGAGTGTCAATCTTTCATGTTGTTGGAGGTAAAACCTGATAATGATAATGAGTGAAAAAGACAGAGGCTAAACAGTAGGTAAAATGGTATTTGCTCCCTGTAAGATGAAACAAAAATTATAGAAAAATCAAGACCCCAAACCTAACTGAAAAGTAACACATACCATATATAGCAACCAGGTCTAGAAAGCATTTATTTTCCTTCCATTTGTTTTATACTTGTTTGTTGGCTTTGCTAGCTACCTCAAAAGCATTCTGACTGGGGATTATAACTCTCTGGAGTTCCAATAAACTATCAAATTCATCCCACGGACTTGGGAAACCCCCCCAGTCCGTACTTGCTCCCACCCTTTTGACTGCAAACTTCTAAAAGCCTGCTTGTTCTTCAGGCCTTGAATTAGGAAATTTGTCTTTTTTTCTTGATATATTTTGTCTTTAAAAAAATCTGTAAACTATACAAAGTTGCTACAGAGAAGGATGTCCTTAAAAATGAAATAATAAATCAAGTATCTGTTTCTCTTAAAAACACGTGTGTTGGGAGAATATGTTATTCTGAATTTCTTAGGTATCTACTATACCAGGGCTTTTCAACCAGTGGTACGGGTACCACTTGTGGTACATTGGCACCTGGCAGGTGGTATGCGACCATGCTAGAAAAGTGGTAGCGGGGGAGGGGAATGAGCTGAACCGGTGGCAGCACCGCACAAGCCTGAGCGAGAGACAGCTGGAGCTGCAGGGCTGTCAGGGCTCAGCGGAAGCGCCAGGATCAGTGCTTCTTTGGGGCTATCAGGGCTCAGCGGAAGCGCCAGGATCAGGGCCAGGCTCCAGCTGGAGCTCAGCGCTAATCCTGGTGCTTCTGCTGAGCCCTGAAGAAGCGCCGATCAACTGGAATGTTGCAGCATCTCCAGAGTCTTGTGATTTACATTCAGATGCTTGGCAATTGATTCATATTTATGACGGTCACAGTGTCCCAGGGTCATGTGAAGGGACCAAAACCTGCTGCAACCACCCAGCAGACGGGGGGAATAAAAACCAAACAGCCCCCCACCCCACCCCTGCTGCCAATCCTCAACAGAAATGCTCACAACAATGAAAACCTCAGACAGGAAGAAGAGCGCCGCCGGGCGGGCAGGCAGGTGTCTTGCTCGGCTGTGGCTTGGGGGGAACTTTTTTCAGTGTCATTGTAACTTCGAACAGTCATTAAGCGAACTGTTGTAAGTCGAGGACTACCTGTACTTTATCACTTTTTTCCTTTTTGGGTCATCAAGTTTTTGACACCTTGCTAGGCGACTGGTGGTACTTAGATATTGCCATATCCTAAAAGTGGTACAATGGGTGAAAAGGTTGAAAAGCCCTGTACTATACAATATGCAGTATACAATACCTGTTATCCAGATTTTAACCCCTAATTTTAGATTCACCAGTTTCTTAAAATATTCTTCAAGTTCAGTATTTCAGGATAGTTTATTTACAAATTTACAAAATTTACTAATATAAGCTGTTCTCATACACCACACTGACTGGGACCACGTTTTAGCAGTCAGTGGGTTATTAATTTATCATCTAGGATTGTGCAAAGTCAGAAAAATAAGTCAAGTTAATAGATTTGGTTCAATATTGGAGTGCTTAAACTCAGAAAACAGGTTTTCATTGGGATGTACACCTTCTTTTACTGTCACATATTGCATTACACAATTGCTGCTTTTGACTTCTACCACAGATCCCTAAAGAACCTTGGACCTGCCCCCTTTCACAACAGATTAGCAAATAATGAAGAAAAGCGAGTTTGCACAAGCCGGCCAATCAGAAAGTTGTATCTGATGTCACGTCCTCTTTCACGTGGCCATCCATCAACCTGAGAGCGAGCTGCTTGACATTCCTTGAGCTGCGCCGTTTCACTAGAATCCGTAAAGCCACGCCCACAAGTTCTTCAATGGCTGGCTTTTTTTTCAAGCCCTAGACTAGGTTTTCTCCATTGGTCGAGAAAAACGTACCTCAGCATAAATGGCGGGGCTATCGCCCTTTTCTCCATTGCCAGGAAGATTACCTCGCAAAATCCGGTAGGGATGGAGGAAGATGAACTTGTCAGCGGGGCTCAGCTCATCGCGGAGTCCCTAAAGACACAAGTAAGAGCGCTGCGTGACTCCCGAGTCTGGCTTCAGCCTGAACAGGGGAATGGGAAAGACCATTTCGAAGTACCGCGGGGGTGTCGAGTTGTGGAATATAGAAGATCGCGGGGTTCCTGTTAGACTCCTCCCCTGCACGGGCAAAACTTCTGGCTTGTGGAATTGAAAAAGAGATTCCCTTTCACGCGTTTTGTTTAACCACGGTTTATTGAAAAACCCCACAATCGAGCACGTTCACACAATATACGGGATCAATGCAAAAAAAGCATATTATGTTTATTGTGTGAATCAGGACATAGTGGTGTTAATCTTAAATGACACAAAACAAACGTACAAGATTCGCTTTAGAACATCCACCCAAACTTTTGTAATATATCTGCCAAGGCAGGAGTCGTACATTTCGTGATTATAGAAATTTGAAAGAAAACTACATGGTATTCACCTGCACCTGTTCTAGAAAGCTCTTAATCTTTATTATTTTAAGTCTGAATATTTATGGGATATTCATTTGGTGACTAATAAATGTTACAGTGGGAACCATATTGTGATTTGCAGTCTAGGTGCTGCTGATTTTTTTTTCTACTTAATTCTGCAAAAGTGAAGTGATTTGTAAACAATCAAAAGAATTTCTGTTTATTTTAAACTAAACTAAGCACTGTTGTTTCACTATTGCCCTTTACCTTATCTTATTTTGATTTATTTTATTTCTATCTTATCTCTAAAATGTTGACTCTAACATACTGAACAGAATCCATATGTTTAGATTTTTTGGTCAATTGAAAATAAATAGTACTTAGAAAAGTAGATGCAAGAAAAGAACATTGTGGGGGAAATGGGTACTTTTGAATTAGACTCATTTTGTGATTAATAGGATATATCTCATATAATGTAATTATAACTAATCTTATAAAAAGTCAAGAATTTTAATATGCTAATAAGAATAAAATCTGGATAGTGTATGTGGCAATACTTGGAGACAGTAGAATAGAAGAAAAAGAACTGGAGAAGATAACAAAATCTAGGGACCTGCGAGAATAGAACACTGGCAAAAAAAAATATATGCAAACGTAGTTCCAATAATAATAGACTCCTTGGGTGCAATACCAAAACAACCGGAGCACCATTTGAACACCATGGGCATTGACAAAATCACAATCAGTCAATTGCAAAATGCAGTTTTACTTAGAACAACTTACACAAATTCTTTTTTTTTTTTAAATAAATTTTTATTAATTTTTCATTTAAGAACAGAAACATAAATCTTTTATCACAATATCAACCAAAGAAAATAAAACTAAACAAAACATTCACGGACATGTCCGGTGTACCCCTCCCGCACCACCCTCTTCCACTTACCACTCCTTCCTCCTCCCAATCTACCACCACTCCTCCTTCCTCCCTCTTTCCTACCTCCCTTCCTCACTCAACCATCCCGTCTTGTGCAGTTGGGGTATCACCGGGCACCACCTTAAAAAAAAATCATACATATAAATCTATAATACAAACCTACCCTTTTCCCCCCTCCCCCCCCCAGGACTTCCCAAAGCTAATCTAGGAAATAAACGCACAATAATCCAATTCTATTCAAAACTACTCATTATTACTACACACTAGTATAAACTTGCTATGACTCTAAAATAACATTAAAATACATACAATTTTTTTTAATATGTCAGTATTTGATATACATATTTTTGTTCAAAATTTTTAATCAAAAGCTACATAATAATTTTTCAATTCATATTTTCTCTGAATATAATCTATCCATCTTCTCCACATTGAGATAAATTTTTCCTGAGAATAATCCTTCAGGTACGCAGATATTTTTGCCATCTCTGCAAAATATGATACTTTCTGTCTCCAATCATCCATAGTTGGTAACATTTTTTTTTCCAATTTTGAGCAACTAAAATCCTTGCTGCTGTTATACAATGCAACATCAATTTCATTTCTTTTTGATCCAAATTGTCCATAATACCCAATAAAAATAACTGTGGTGTAAATTTTATCTTTTTCTTAAAAATCTGTTGGATATTCCACCAAATCTTAATCCAAAAGGCTTTAACATCCCTACACGTCCACCAAATATGATAATAAGTAGCATCCATACTACCACATCTCCAACATTTTGGTTGCAAATTCGGATACATGCAAGACAATTTTTGCGGGTCCAAATGCCATCTATAAAACATTTTATAAAAATTTTCCCTTAGATTCTGTGCTTGGGTGAACTTGACATTTTTTACCCAGATTTTTTCCCAAGTTTCTAACTTTATTGGTTCTTGAATATTTTGAGCCCATTTAATCATACAATCTTTAACCAATTCTGTTTCCGAATCAAGTTCTATCAAAACACTATATATTCTCCTAATATGGGCTCTACTTTGATCTTTAATCTGTTTTATCAAGTTCATATCCTCTACCATTAAACCCAATTTTTGATCTATTTG